AGAGAGAAGGGAGAGAGAATATAACAAGATAGGCCTTCATGCCAGCCAGATAGCTCAGTGAATTAAAGTGCCTACTTAGGCAGATGCAGGGACCCAGGTTCAATCCCCAGCATGCCATGCCAGCCCTGCCCCCAGGGAGTGCTGAGATGGTGATTGAGACTGGGCATTGTGGCACGTGCCTGTAATCCCAGTGCTTAGGAGGCTGAGGACAGGAGGATCACTACTAGTCCAGTCTGTGTAGTGAGACCCTGTACTAAATACACTACAAAAAAAAGAAAGAAACTTTAAAAAAGGCCTTCGTGTATCATACTGAGGCCATCTCACTCTCCACAGGGAATTGCACTTAGCAAAGCACAGGCATTCCAACATTCAAGAGTCATCAGAAATGAATCAAGGAAGAGCTGCGGAGTCCTGATCCGAGAGCGCTCCGCAGCCGCTCCCTCTGGCTGCCCCGCTGCATTCTCCAGGGCAGCCAGAGCCTGCTGTGTTCCCGCTCACAACACAGCCCCTTCGGCTCTTGTCTCCCATTTGCTTTCCTGCTTTTTACTCTTAGCTCTTCTTCATGTCGCCAATGTAGCATGTCAGTGATTCCTTGCTTTTCTTCACCAAAAGCCTTAAACACATCTGGCAAAAAACAAAAGTCTTCATAGCGGGAGACACAGCAGAGCAGAGAACCTAGATAGATAGTGACAGAATTCTCTCTCTCTCTCTCTTTTTGTATTCTTTGCTTATATATTTTTTTATTTTTTATTTTAATTGTTTTAATAGATTGCAAATTGAAAATAAATTATTTACAAACATAAATGAAGATAACAATAAAAATTGTTCAAAATAAAAATAAAGAAAAAATTTACAGATCAGTCATAATAGTTCATTGTGTCAAAACCAAGAAACTTAGATTCATATAACTAGAATTCTCAAAGTAGAAAGGAGTAGGCAATAAATATTTAAAGATTTAAAATTTCTGAATTTAGTTCAATTTATAATACCTCAATTCCAAGAAAAATGAACCTTTTTTGCAAGAAATTTAAATAAAATCATACCAAGGTACACAAAAATGAAATTGTCCAAAACTTATTGTGAAGAAAAAAATCATTAAAGCATATACGTAAAAATATTAGCTATGGAAGAACAAAATTAAATAGCATCTTATTCCACATTAGAAAGAAAAAAAAAGGACCAAGTGTGTAAAAACTAGACTAATTACAGGACTGAAAGAAATTTTATACTTAGCAAACATACCTTTGAAAACTAAAAGTAAGATTTTCTAGTTATACAAATTTGAAATATTTTAATACCTCCAGAAGTAGCATATAGGAAATAACAAAGAACATAATTCAAAAGGCAAGAGAAGTTGCAGTATGCTCCTGGATGAGCAATAAAGAGCTCTCAATGTGATAGTTATGCAGGACTATATAAAAGATATTAGATGAACCCTTATTTAAAGGTCATTGAAGACAAAATTCTCTGTAGCAGGAGGCAGACAGGAAGTCAGGGAATACTCACACATTAGTAACATAAAAGCTGGCGAGAGAATAATTCCATTATCAATTTGAAAAACTGAGATGCTGTTACCACATTAACAAAATAAAGGCCTGAAAAGATGTTCCTAGACTTCAAAGGTGGGGCAGGGCAACCACACCAGGCACTGGGTAGGCAGAGGGAGGCGGCAGCGGGCTTAGGCTGGCACAGCGTGTGTGTGCACTGCTTCTCAGGCGTCCTGCCAGGCGGAGGAGAGGGACCTTTCAGGGTTTGCCACGTTAGTCTGATGCAGCATACCAAGTTGTCTGTCCTGTCCTAAAATGTCCTGAGCTTTTTTTTTTTTTTTTTTTTTTTTTTTTGTGATACCAGGGATCAAACTCAGGACCTTGGGCTTGCTAGGCAGGTGCTTATGCTGCTGAGCTATCTCCCTGGCCCAACATCCTGAGCTTTATTCTGCAGATACTCCATGTCTTTTTTCTTTTTTTTTTTCCTTTGGCGGAACCGGGGATTGAACTCAGGCCCTTGTGCTTGCCAGGTAAGCACTTATTTTACTGAGCCATCTTCCCAGCCCCATACTCCATGTCTTGATATAAATGTGTTCTGTTTCACCCCAGAGTGTGGCCAATTCTTAGGAAGAGCCACTCTATTTTCTTTGTGAAGACCCAGGCATCATGATATGTGTCCCAGTTTTAAAACATTGCCATTATAGGGGGATTACAGAATTTAACACAAGGCAGCTTGCTGGGCTGTTCCTATGGAGGAAACAGGCCACAGTCTCCCCTTTCATACCTAAATTCTAAGAACACTGGAACCCCACAGGTCTTCATAAACCATTTAGTAGTAAAAGCTGGCCTGTCCTGAAGTCAACCGGCAGGAAAGCTTGGTGCTAGGTGAGAATTACAGTCATAACGGGGATGGAGTAGTTGGCTGGCCAGCCATTTCTCGGTCACAGTTCTATGTTGTGCTTGGAAGAAATAAGGATTTTTAGGGAATGGCCATAATTAAATTTGAAAAAAGTTTAAAAGGAGGCAATTCTAGTAGTCCCAATGAGAGATGTGACTCTGGGTGTGGAAGAGTAAGATGAATTTGGGGGCTGCTGAGGAGACGCACCAAGGGAACATCACAGCCCAGTCGATTTGGCAACTGAAGATGTGTCCTGAATTTGAGTTTGCAGCATGGTACAGTCTGAAAGTGCTAGAAGACCATTCCCAACCTGTACTGGCCATGTGGCCTTGGACATGAAATAATCCATAGAAAATCCTTGGCACGAGACCATGCTCTCAGTAGGTCAATATATTAGTTGTTATGAGTTTTGTGGTGATTTTTATTTGGTTGGTATTATTTATTTGTGGAACCAGGGATTGAACTCAGGCCCTTGTGCTTGCCAGGCAAGCGCTCATTCTACTGAGCTATCTCCCCAGCCCTTTTGGTGGTATTTTGATATGGGGTCTCATTATGCAACCCAGGCTGATCAAACTCATAGTGAGCTTCCAGCTTCAATCTTCTGAATGCTAGCATTAAGGCACGTGCCATAACAGCCAGCTAAATATTTAACTATTATTATTAAGATGCTGAACTTCTCAGTACCACAAAAAACAAAACAAAACAAAAAAAAAGATGCTGAACTTGAACTTTGTCACCCTTGAAGAACCAGTTGTCATTATCAGCTGGTATTTGTATACCATAGGTAATTGTAATACTTGATTCTTCCTTTCATGCTTTAAAAGTTAATTTCTGGGGGCCGGGGAGATGGCTCAGTGGAAAAAGCGCTTCCCTGGCAAGCACAAGGGCCTGAGTTCAATCCCCGGTTCCGCAAAAATAAATAAATAAATAAATAAATAAATAAGTTAATTTCTGGGCTGGCCAGATAGCTCAGCAGACTAAAGAGCCCGCTTAGGCGGAGTGCAGTGGCCTGGGTTCAATACCCGGCCAGGGCATGCTGAGATAGCGACTGAGACTGGGCATGGTGTCGTGCGCCTATAATCCCAACACTAGGGAGGCTGAAAACAGGAGAACCACTACAAGTCCAATCTACACAGTGAGACCCTGTACACCCTATCCTAAATTCATTTTTTAAAAAGTTAATTTCTAAGTATGTTTGATATTATAAACATGTTCAAAGCACTTTTTAAAGTAGGTAGAATATAATTTATAGACTTTAAACAAATATGTCATGCAGTTTAAAAGATATATAGCAGGGGTCAGGGAGATAGTTCAGTAGAATAAGTGCTTGCCTGGAAAGCACAAGGGCCTGAGTTCAATCCCTGGTTCCACAAAAAGAGAAAAAAAGAAAAAAAAAAAAGATATAGAAATATACTTGGTTTAGATTTGTTTTTTTCCCCTGTACCTTAGGGGTCTGCAGGGTGTTCAGGGCCTCACTACTACATCATACTTATAGTCCTTCTGTTTACAGCCTCCCAAGTGCTGGGATTACTGGCAAGCGCCACTGTACTCAGTCTCAATCGCTATCTCAGTGTGCCTCTGGGTGGGGCCAGCACAGCAGGCCCAGGGATTGAATACCTGGCCCCTGCACCTGCTTGCAGGTGCTTTAATCCACTAAGCTATTTGGCCTGCTCTGGTTTAGATTTTCAGCAATGTAGCACACCAAGTTCCACTTAGTATTATGTATCTGAGCCTTAGAAAGAAATGTAATGAGTTCAAATTAAAACTTTGCATTTTTTTCTGTATCTGACTTTGACATACAGTTCAGGAAGAATAGAAGACTTCACTGGGCACATGATTGCCTTTAGTATCTTATTCATTGCCAACTCCATTAAAATTTGTACAAATCTTGTTTCAACACATAAACCCTAAGGATTGAAAAGATAGAAGGCCTAAGGAGTACAGTTGGATAGAAGACAAAACTTCTAATTGGTTAGTGTAGTAGGATATCTGAGGTTGACAAATTAATTGAATATTTCAAAATAGGTAATGAAGAATTTTCAGTTTTCTCAACACAAAGGAATGATAAATGTCCTACTGTATGAGGTGGATATGCCCATTACCCTGATCTGACTACACAGAACATACAGGTATTGAAACGTCACAGCACAATCCATAAATACATAAAGTTACCATGTCACATCCCTGTCATTTGTGTTAAGATGGAAGATAATATGTTAAGTCAAACAAGTCAGGCACAGAAAAACAAGCATCACAATCTCAATGATGTGCAGAATAAAAAAAAGCAAGGAGCCATAGAAGAAGTAAAAGTGTTCATTGCAGGCTGCAGGGGTGGTGGTGATGTGAGAGAATACTGGTTAGAAGATTCCAAATATCGGCTGGTAAGAATAATCTCAGCCAATGATATCTCATTTATTTTAGAATTTCTAAAAATATAGGCATTCTCACCACAAAAAAAATAGCTGAGGTCAAATGTTAAGTAGCTTGATGTAGCTATTCAACAGCGTAGGTGTGTATGTTATATATATGTATATATATATATATA